GCCACTTCAGCTTACTAATCCGTTAGGATATGTCGGTCACTCTAATGAAACCACTTCCTAAAAATATTTCTTAATAACCCAAAAATAATGTACGAGTTCGTGAAGCTAAGAAGTTTCCACTTCTGACGTGCAGTCTTACGACTGACAGTTTTTCTTTCAATGTATGTATGAATAGAATAGAATATAAGAAACGATGGTTGCCATTATGAAATTTATATATTTAAAGTTAAACTGCCTCCACCATACAGGAGAAAATCTTAGTGTGAGTGAGGGTGAAGTTTTGATTAAAAAAAATTTGAATACAATAGAGTATAATATTTTTTCTGTTAAAATGTTGTTGTAGATTGTTAGATAATACTTACTGAAAGTAATTTTTTTATTTACCACTGGTTCATAAAACACCACTGTCTCAGGATGAACCAGCAAAAAACCCAGTGGGATTATGTTTTTAAACACATAGCTTTACAAAAATTTTGTAATTTTTTTATATGAATATTAATAGAACCAGTATGTTAGCGTCCCAAATCGAATCACCTCATTCCCAGGGGTTATTTTCATTCATGTATTCCTTGATATTGTAACAACCCTTGTACAATTTTTCTTTAAAAGTTTTTTTAACTTGTTGATTGACAAACTGAACATTTTCTGGGATTTTGTTGTAAATGCCTATATAATATTGGCCTACTAATTGTGGGGACCCTGTGGGAATGTGTACCAAGTGTGTAATAGCGATGTAAGAATGTTATCCACTACCCCATATCATCCCGAGGGTGTCGTAACAGGCGACAGAGGGAAACTGAAACAGGAGTGGGGCAGGAGCATCTTCCTGATAATAGTTGAATAAAAACTGCGGTTGCGAACCCACTTGCAAAGCTTGGCAACTGTGGCAGAATTCCCCAATGGCAATCTATGGAGGAGGCCTATGTTTACCAGTGGAATTTTATAGGCTGTAACAATGATATTCCTTTTTTTGTATGTAGACATCATTGGGCTACAATGGATGTACGTATGTAATGGAGTTTTATGAAGTGATAATAGAACTTACAGTCAAACTGATGGTAACTGGCTACTGCATACCATGGACACTTGTAGCCATATTCAAACAGAAAGCTACAGATGTGCTGTTACCTCCATAGAATATTATAATACAGTATAGAATAGAATGGCTGTCAACCTTATTTTGTACGAGGACCGGTGTCACTGGGAGCACACAAACAAGCAGTTACGTCGTATTGTCGCTACTACAAACACGATTCGCGAATTTACACATTTTAGACTTTTGATTAATGTTTTTGACACATCAATATTTCTTTATTTTTGTTTCTAATGTTGTTAGCGACATGTTAGTAGCTACACGAGCTCCGCCCACTCCCCCGTTCTATTATGTATGCATTATAGTGTTCTATGAATACCTTTATGGAACAAGGTGGAACGTCTTACAGCATGTAATTAATTATACTGGCTCTCCATACACCCTTCAGTTCGGAACACAGCTGTGCAAGTATATAGTATATTCTAAAGGTGCTTGTACTGCTATTTGGCACCAGAAATAGGCAAGGTACACACTTACATCGGACACGGGACAGGTCCAATGACTGCACACTTTTAGCCGACTTCAAACAAAGAAGGGCTAAACAGGTGTTGTCAGCTCTGAGTAATAATAATAATAATAAAATCCTTTATTTCGACCAACAATAGTCATAGATTATTAGTAAAACAAACCTTAACTTAATGATAGTTATAAAATAAAATAGAAATTAATATTAAAATGTTAGTAACAATGGTACTTATCCTATATTAGTAACTTAACCTACATCCAGCCTCACATAGCGAAACCCAGGTGGGGTTCTCCTGGTGCTGGTGTGTGCACCATTGCAAGTTCTCCAGAGAGGGCTATCCAGCTTCACAGCCAATGTGCTGAGAAGGGTGTTGGAGCTCCTCAATAGCCTGCTCATCATGGACGCAGCACGCTTGCGCATGATCGCGTAGAAGTCGTCCACACGAGCACCCGCGAACATTGCCGACGCACTGCAGTGTCGAGTCCTCCTCAACATCACCCTCAGCACATTGTTGTACTGAACACGCAGAGCACTGTAGGCTCGCTGCGTATAGTTGTCCACAGACTGCACGTGTAAAAGGATTGGCAATACGCCTTGAACAAAGTTAACTTGACTAATGTCTCTCTCTGTGTAATTATATCGTATAATGATTGTGTACGCCAACATTACACATTTAAATGAGACAGCAGCTATGGTCACGGGGGGGGGGGGGACTGAGTTGTTCGACTTCCCAATCTCAATCCTCAATCTCTTTTATACGTGGTAGGGCCGCGCTGCGGCTATATTATGGTTGTAGCACGAATGGGTCGGCTCGACCGGGGAAAGACCACGCTCTCACAGAATACCAGCGTAAAATAGCAGCTTAATACTGCTGTGTTTCGTATGGTGAGTGTAGAGATCCGGAGATCCTTTTTACTGGAAACGAGGCATTCCATCTTAGTCCTCATGGGTGACAACGCATCTGCGTTTTGATTCTTAATTGAGGATAAATGTAGATGTCTATGTGCCACAGCATCCACTTACCATCAGCCGGACCGTGTGCTCGTTAGTCACCCTTATTCTATAAAAAAATATCAATCAAGCTAACCACGGCTACCTTCAGTTTAAAATTATTTAACGAAATCAATTTGGTAAAGTACGCGAAACGTCGAGAATATAAAATAAAATAACATACGCGATAAAATACGTAAAAACTAGTTTCTTTTAAATATCTGAAATTTTGTATTGGAATTTAATTAGAATTTAATAATCGATGACAATGCCGTCGTATCGTCGTGACCTAGGCCTAGGCTTTAATCCTTCCTAGGATCATCAAAGCAAATTAAGTATTTTTTACATCTATCATATTATGATCAGGTGATAAGCGCTCCTTTAAATGCAAAGTACGCGAACAACCTGAGTATCGAATTCGGTTACTCGACCTACGTCTTATTGAATTTATTATAGCTTAGGAAAGACGTCAATCAAACAGGGCTTCGCAACTGACTGGTTTATGTCACAACCATCGTATTATAAAAAACGGTTTCTCTGAAACGGCTCTAATGATCTGGAAAAATGTTGTATTAAAATAATGTTTTGCTTTCTAAGTTTACCTAGATAAATTTCATGCCTGAATAATTACAATTTTTCTCTAACACCGAACAAAACTCGTTCGCCTAGATACTAATAATTTTAAGTGCAGAATTACGAGACTCGTACCACGTGATCGGCTGTGAAGCAAATTATATATTTCATTAATAATAGTAATGTCCTCACGACCGGATTTCGGTCACGGCAGCCAACCTCAACGGAGACTAGCCGTCGGTGCAGGACAGGATTATAGTGCCCAAGTGTATGCGTAAGCACAGGTGTATTCTATTCCTTCACTCTTATAGTCCGATGGGACGGTAAACCGACACGACCGGAGAGAGATAAGGCGGAGGACCAACGGCTCTACTTGCTTTCCGAGGCACCGGGGTGAGACACCGCCAACTTCCTGACTCGGGGCAGCTACTGAGAATTCCTTAATGGAAAAACCAATAACTGATATTTTTGGCCCGACACGGGATTCGAACCCCTCATGATCAGCAGTCGCACTACTGCGACCGCGAGACCAACGAGGCAGTATTTTTTCATTACTTGTTAGTCGATTAGTCAACTTCAAAGAACTAGAAGGAATAAAATAATTTCACTTTCTGAGGTATCTGGCAAGCTATAGACCATAGAGTATAAAAAATTTAAGGCTCAACTTCAGAATTAGAAATTTCAATGTCGTATAAAAAATTTCATCCACATCCACAATGGAAATGCCATCCATATTTTGCCACTCTTAGAGGGTAGATTTTAACCACAAATATACATATGAGACCATGCCTGATGGCCTACCCTTTTAATCTTTTTTTTAAAACATACAACGAAATCCGCTAGATATTGGATCTAAAAAACCTTTTTTGTAGTAGGCTAAAAAGCGAGATGCATTCGATAATAACGGGACAAAAAAAACAACTAAAATACTTGATATTTTTTGCTATTATAGTGAAAACAATTATATAATGAAACTTGGGAATAAAACAGCCTTACATAATATAATCTATGACTATCACTTAAACTAAGATGGAATGCCTTCTACTTCTTCTTTGTTTTGTGGCGGTTTGATAAAATTGGCCAATGACGTATTGAGTGGAAAATGAAAGCTTATGAGTTTAATTAAAATAAGAGTCTGTGATAATACAAGGATTCAGTTTTCCTCCGAGAATTTTGACAAATCTATTTGTTGAATTACCTAGAACAAATATGACATAAACGCAGGTGTTAGACTCTTACCAGTATGTTAAAAGTGACAAGGATTTAAAGTTTCATATTATTAGTATTAATAAAATCACATAAAATATACATAAAAGGAGTACTGGTATATGTTAAAAGAGAATTAAAATCTATAGGTCGAGGAATATAAGGAGGAAGGTAATCATAAAGGGAGGAGGATAATTTGGGACAGTTTAAAAAAATATGGTTTGTGGAACCTTCATCTAAGCCACATTCACACAATGAGCTATACCTTACTCTGATTTTTGCCAGATGTGCATGTGTACAAGCGTGTCCAATTCTTAATCTACAAATGATTGAAGTTGCATGTTTATTTGCTTTGTTAAATTTAAAGAACCAAGGCTTGGGAGAAATAACCTCTTGGATGGCAGCATAGTGCGTACCTTTAACATTTTTGGAAACTTGCCTTCTATACATTAAAAAGTCTCCGGTTCTCTACACTCACCATACGAAATGCAGTGTTTCGTTACATACATAATCATTGAACTGCTATTTCACGCTGGTATTTTGTGGATCATGCTCATACCTCGGTCGAGCTGACCCATTTGTACTACAACTATAATTTAACTGCAGCAGGAAGCTGGCAGGAAGTTAAAAAAAATAAAACAATTGATTTATATGGACATTCTTTCTTCGTAGCCATGTGGCCTCGCCAAGCAGCTGGACATGACGGAACGGCAGGTGGAGCGCTGGTGGAGGCTCCGGCGCTCGCAGGACAAGCCCTCGACTCTAGTCAAGTTCTGCGAGAACGTGTGGAAATTCACCTTCCACACTGGAAATTTTCTATTTGGCCTGTTCATACTCTGGGATAAAGAGTGGCTCTGGAATATCGACCACTGCTACATCGGATACCCGCACCAGGTACGACATTTTTTATAGGATAAGGGTAACAAACAAGCACACAATCCACCTGATGGTAAGTGGATGCTGTGAACCCTAGGGATTAAGATAGAATACCTCATTATCAGTAAGTAGGGTCTCCGGTTTTCTACATACTCATGTTTTGTTGTAGTTAGATGTTTGATAAAATTAAAATATTGTTTTTTTATATAATGATGTGCTTTTCATGTAATTATTATAGTAGTCATAGGTACATAATCAATTTCCGTATTATAAAAATTAACAAAAAATATTAAAATAAAGTCTATGGACTTGAATTATCGTAATTAAAATGTAGAAGTGGAAGGCTATGGTGAGGAAAGGCTAATTATTCTGCATTTTTACGCAGTAGTTTACTCTTAATAATCCCGGCTTCAGAGAAAAAGCGCTCTGAATAAACACCCCTTGCTTCCCGGCCGAATACCTTATATTTGGCTATTCGGCTAGGAAGTCAACAGAATATTCGGTTTTCGGCGTGTGGTTTACATATTAGACTTGCATTCTTGAAATAATGATGATGAATGATTTTTTTTCTCCTTCTGTTTAAAATTTCATTAGGTAAGCTATCTCATTTACTCTCTGAGCTGTATTGTCTAAGGTTTTTTTCACATTGTGGTTTCGCCACCACTCACGCTGACTAATGACCTTTTTTGACATGCTTTCGACCAGCCAAGCCAGATTTATTGAAATTGCGTATCTTTATTATGAATTTGTTTATTGTTGTACTACAATGGTCTGTGCCAAAATAAAGTGTTTCTATCTTTCTTTCTTGACAAACGGACACTCATTCCATCTTATGGTAAGTGGATGCTATGGCCCATAGATACAAATACAATCAAAATGCAGATGCGTTGTCGCCCCCTGAGGAATACGATAGAATGCCTCGTTTCTAGTAAAAAGTCTCCGGTTCTCTACATTCTGTGAGAGTGTGGGGTATACCCAGTTGAGCCGACCCATTTGTGTTAGAACCATAATATAGCTGCAGTTTGGCTCTACTATGTATAAAATATTTTGCCAGCCCCACATAACTCTGCTTGAATTCTATTTTGTTACTTTCAGGGTGTAACCGACGATGTGTGGTGGTACTATATGGTGTCAGCGGCTTTCTACTGGTCGCTGACCATATCCCAGTTCTGGGACGTGCGGCGAAAGGACTTTTGGCAGATGTTCGTGCACCACATCGCCACGGTGTCGCTGATCTCTTTCAGCTGGGTGTGCAACTTGCACAGGATCGGCACGCTTGTGCTGCTGCTACATGACTGTGGCGATGTTTTTGTTGAGGTGAGTTCGTTTCTCAAGTGGAAACTTCTTTAGAATCGTTGTGATCTGAATCTTTATGAAACGTAAAAGAGGCAAACATATATATCTATATGATTTAGCCTGCGCGAGAATAAGATAGAATACAGTATACAGTGTTTCCTATTAGTACCTGTTTGTACAGTGCTTTAAAGACGGTTACTATAACTTCTAACTATTTGAAAAACAATTAAAATTAAATAAATAAAATAACCTTAATGAATACAATTATCATATCCAGTCCATTAATAACAATCCACGATCACAAAGCGCTTCTTTCAAAGCTTCCTTCCTATGTGCATCCTGAGAAATTGTGCATTTGCATCACCAGCTTTATCGCATATTGTAGTAGACGGTACACGCTGCAATTATAAGTCCATTAACGCTGGTGTTCCACAAGGCTGCGTGCTATCAGCTATCACCAACGCTGTTTCTTCTTTCTTCATATTAGTGATATGTTGCAAACATATCATTGATATGCAGAACAGTAAAATTGATTGCTATGCGGACAACAGCACTGGGTCCTGGATGCTCTAAACCCCCGCCATGCCAATATTTCTCGGGAAAACGTCGACGAACAAACTTGTTCTGAAGTCAAGTCTTTGCTGAACAAACTCTCTTACCTATTTATATTAAATTAGTCGTGTTTAGGCCATCTAGCGTCTACTTTTGTACCAACTTGAAGAAGATAGCGCTATTACAAATTAATTTTACTCGAAAGAAGTTCTTCTGATTTATCACACTGAAATTTAGGCTCTACATGTAAAAATAACAATTGTAACATTTATTAGCTATAAAATTATACTTTTATACTTTAAGCTGCACTTGTGGTTGAAAATCATAATATTAAATAAATCATTTGCCGTGAAAATAGAGAAAAACTACCCAAAAACCGTTAAGAATTCTAATTTCCATAAATTAATGTTTCAGGCGGTGAAAGCTTCAAAGTACGCAAACTACCAGAGAACCTGTGACGCGCTGTTCCTATGCCTCATCGTGGTCTGGATCGGCACTCGGATATTCATCTTCCCCTACTATATATTGTGGAGGTACAATAAACTTATAAATAATGTCCTCCAGATCGAATTTCGGTCACGGCGGCCAGTCTCAACGGAGACTGGCCATTGACGCAGGATATAATCCTGTCCTGACCTGTGCCGACGTGAAGCACAGGAGCACTCTCTATTCCCTCACTCTCATAATCCGATGGGACGGTAAACCGACACGACCGGAGAGATCGGGTGCAGGACCAACGGCTTTACGTGCTTTCCGAGGCACGGGGGTGAGATACCGCCAACTTCCTGACTCCGGGCAGCTACTGCGAATTTTATGACGGAAAAAGTCAATAATTGATTTTTTTGGCCCAACCCGGGATTCGAACTAGGGTTTCGGTTGGTCTCGTACCCGGGAAATTCAGCTCGAGAAAAGTCGAGACATCGAGAAGTTTAAATAAACATTTTTACGCTTAGCTTTCTTTGTAAATGCGAGGCGGCAGCGGCATCCTTTGACAGCACGGCTCGTGTCTGTCGGTATCCTTTGTTTTTGCCGACAAACGCAAGCGCGACGCGGCCCCAGTTGTATTTTGTTCATTCGTGTTTCAACTCCCGTCGTGTTCGGATCGGTCGGATCATAAACCCAGCATAGTGAGTGTATTTACTATTTAGTGACGCACGAGTAATAGAATCGCAGAACAAACAGGTAAGTATTGTTATTATTTATTTAAATAGTTCAAGTGTTTGTTTTGTTTTGTAAGTACTTTTGTATTACCAAAATAATATTTTTGTTTAAAATGAATAGGTATGTTAAAGAAATAAAACTTTTGTTTTTAATCAAATAAGAGAATTGTTAGTGCATAAATATTTACCGATTTCATTAATTGCATTTGTATTGCAGATGTTGTAATAAAATAATCCCACAAAAGCCTAAAGTTCTAAACTAAACACATAATATTAAGAGTAAGACGTTGTTTTATGGCAATTTATCTACTACAAATAACACAAAACGTATCCAACCAATCCTACCAAACGTAGTATACAAAAGGACACAGCTATTTTTTCATCATCATCATCAGCCTAACCTAACCACATCAACCCCCTGCTGGGCATAGGCCTCCCCACTGTTGCGTCAGCTATTTTGTAGGTACTAGGTACTAAACTAAAATACTTACTAATTCTTGAACTGTTTGTTATAGATTTTACAACTAATGAACCAAAATGGAAACTTCCAAAGTTTGGAAATATTTCAAGAAAAATAAGGACGCCTCAAATGCGCAATGTCTAAAATGTCCTAAAACCATAGCCTGTAAAGGATCAAACACAAGCGGACTAGTGAGGCATTTAGCTCATGTACACAAAATTGATGTAAGATCCACCGAGGTTCAAATGGACACAGAAGAAGCATCTACAAGTTCGTCTAGTTCCGGGGTGACGGCACCAAAAAAATTAAGAAGTGATTTTGAAACTATGCACGTACAGCAAACACTGAAATTTGACGTTCAACCCAGAAAATCGTTAGGTGAAATTTTAGCTAAACTTTCAGCCCAAGATGGTTTTACTATAAGAGGCAATACTAAAAGTGAATTTATCCGTGAATCACTTGCTGCCAAGGGGTATAAACTTCCAAAGACCCAAACAGAAGTTATGAACCTAATATTGGAAGTTTTATGATGAAAAGGAGAAAGAGATGATAAAAGAGCTTTCTCAGCTTTGCACATCAGGAAACCGGCTAAGTGTGACAATTGACGAGTGGACGAGCATACGAAACAGACGATATTTTAGCGTCTGTGTTCATACAGCAGAGGCAAAAGTTTACAATTTGGGGCTAGTTTACATACCCGTAAAATGCGGTGCCGCAAAGGTTAGAGAAATAGTAGAGGAGCGTTTGAAATACTTTGGGGTAAACTTCGAGCATTATGTCTTGGCCGTAACAAGCGACGGGCCAAATGTTATGAAAAAATTTGGCAGAGAGAGCCCCTGTGATATGGTCCTCTGTGTAAACCATGCCATCCATTTGGCTATTCTTGATACCTTTTGCAAAAAAAAAACAGTAACTACAGTTGCTAGAAGAAACACACCTATTAGCGGCGATGAACACAGCAGCTCTGATGAAGCCAGCACTGATAACGATGACGAAGAATCTGATGATGAATCTATATTGCAGCCTATTGACTACATAAACAAAGTGCTAAATGAGACCCGTTCGATCATAAGATTTTTCAGAAAGAGTCCCCTTAGAAATATCACACTACAAAAACATGTGAAGACTGAATTCGGGGCCGAACTAGTCTTATTACAGGATGTCAGAACTAGGTGGAATTCAATGCTAACAATGATAGCGTTTCTTGAAGTTAAAAAATTCCATTAAAAAAGCCTTGATTGATTTAGATAGCTCATTTAAATGGAAGGAGGAAAATATTCCTATACTACAAAAATTGCGGTTGATATTGACGCCAACTAAACTTGCAGTTGAAGCATTGAGCAGACAAGATGCCAATTTACTAACTGCAGAGGCTATAACAGATGTGTTGCTAAAACAATTAGAAAGTATCGACGACCCTTTGGCTCTTCAGTTAGTAGAATCTCTTAAAATGAAAATATCAGATCGTCGGAATACACCTCTAATATCGCTGCTACGCTACCTAAACAGCCCCGATAATTTTATTCTCAAAAAGAGTGCTTATTTTACCGATAATAGCAAGACATTTTTAATTGGATACGCTGAAGACTTATTCAATCGTCTATACCCCACTGTTCCCACTACTACAGAACCTTCGACAGGAAATAATTCAGAAGTTGTCGAAGCAGGCGTAAGCGAATCAGAAACTGAACAAGACAGCTTTGCAGCTCAATTAGAGAGAGCAATAAAAGGTGTTTCGAGAAATGGTGAATCAACTAATGCTGTGGTGCTTTCCAAATCAATTATAAAAAAAGAGTTTTTGCTATTTCAAAAAACAGGCAAGAGGACCCCTAATCTGGAAACACTATACAAAGCATTAATTTCAGTCAAGCCGACTTCAACAGAAAATGAAAGGGTATTTTCCATATCGGGAAATGTGGTCAGTAAGATTGGGAGCCGGCTGTCTGATAAATCTATTAATGCTTTGGTTTATCATAAGGCATATTTCATAAGAATTAATAAGCAGCCTTAAAGACAGGTATATTTTTCGCTGTAAGTTCTGACAGCGCGCGACATGTTATACTCCCGTTCGCTCGGGACCGTAATGGCGGGAAAATTTGCAAATTAGCAAATTTTTTGCTATATTGCAAATTTTGCTATATTTCCACTTTGAGACAATATTTATGGATAAAACTTACAGGATTTCTTGTTGAATGTATAAACTATCGAATAAAATTATTTTTGGTTGCTAGAAATTGTAATAAAATACATAAATTACCCTGTATAGCATAGTAGTACCATATACTTCAATTTTAGTGACAAAATTACTACTAATTTGAATTCTACACTTTTGTTTTTAGAGAAATTTATATGAAAATGTTTGGAAATATGTATATTTTTATGTTTTATGTGTTTCCATTCGTTACTCATACCAAAATATAAAATATAAAGAAATTAAAAAAATTAAATATTAATATTTTATCTGTGTGACATTTAGAACAATATTTCTAAAATAGTTTTGTGTGAATTTGAAATAAATACAACGTCAAGTTATTTGAAATATGTAAGAAAACTATTTTTACTTACATTTTACACTAAAAATAAATGAAAATTTGAAAAGTAACACATTTATGACCCAGCCGCCATAATGGGCCTTCCAGATTTTGAAGCACTTTTGGCAATTTACTTTTCACTTTTTATACCACAAATTATATATCTTCGTGTTCACTATATTACAAGGAATATAAAAAAGTATAATACTTTCGTTTTTAGTCCAGACACAATTATAAAATTCTATAAAAAAGATGGAGCACATTCATCAAAACGACACGTGGAACGCCGAAAGTTTAGAGTGATTTCTTTTTTTTTTTTTCTAAGAAACATTGCCAGGTTATGGTTTAAAATAAAAGAGCATATCTTTGTCTTTGATACTATTATCTATTGCATATTGTCTTTGGTTTTGTTTTAAAGGAAAAAGTAGTTTTTTCATAAGGCAGTACTTCTGATATTATCTGATCTAATTAGCCCCGTACTAGAGCGGGCGTAAGGTAGGTATTGTATGATCTGATTAGATTGTTAGCCGAGCGAAAGGGTTAATAGTAGATAGATATCTCTTATTTAATTACATTAAAACTGCCAAAAATTGTGATACCATACCACCCACATAGTGAGATTAGTGAGTGATCTTTAGTTATGATGAGAAAAATTATGATTGTTTTTAGTTAAGATGTTTGTTTTAAGCTGATTGTTAACAGAGATTTTGTTTTTTATTAAAGATTAGTGAGATTAGTTATAATAAGAAGAAGTATGATTGTTTTTAGTTAAGATGTTTGTTTTAAGCTGATTGTTAACAGAGATTTTGTTTTTTATTACAGATTAGTGAGATGAGATTAGTTATGATAAGGAGAAGAAGTATGATTGTTTTTAGTTAGCAATTTTGTTTTGAGCTGATTTTTTATTGAAAACTTGTTTTTTTTTTGTTAAAAATTATGTTGATTTTTTCATGTAAAATAAACACAGTTAAATTAAAGACTCTTTTTATTAATTAAACAAAAATTTAGACGTATTTTATTTTTTCTCGACAACCCGAGAAGACCCGAGAAATCAGGCTCGAGAAGTCTCGACACCCGAGAACTAAAAAACCTCGAGAAATCGGAAACCCTAATTCGAACCCAGGACCTCATGATCAGCAGTCGCACTACTACAACCACTAGACCAACGAGGCAGTCAAAGTTGTACATACTTATTCATCATCATCATTACAGCTCTTCACAAGTACACTGCTGAACATAGGCCTCTCTTAAAGAAAGTTCGGGGAAATACGACTCATCTTCTCGTCAGGTATACCTCAAAACTTAAAAACTAAATTTTACTACCAGTGCGTGTTGCCATTGATGACTTATGGATCTGAGACATGGTCCTTCACTACTGGTTGTAAGAGGAAGCTCAAGGTCGCTCAGCGAGCTATGGCTATGTTCAGGGTTTCTCTGCGTGATAAACTTAAAAATGTGGACATCCTTAGTAACACCAGAGTAACTGACATAGCCCAACGGATTAGTAAGCTGAAGTGGCACTGGGCCGGCCATATAGCTAGAAGAACCGATAACCGATGGGGAATCAAGGTTCTCGAGTGGCAGCCTCGTGCCGGTAGATGAAGTGTGGGGCGACCCCCCACTAGATATAGTGACGACCTGGTAACACATGCAATAAGTCGATGGATGCTGGTGGCTCAGGATCATGCCCTATAGCATTCTTTGAAGGAGGCCTACATACATATTAAAACGATAGAAGATTCAAAGATAAGCTCGGACTTGGACATCAGAAAAATTTTACTTGTGGGAAGAGATCAAATGTAATAATTTTAGGGTAATGTGATAGGCGAAGGACCTACGGTATAGGATTAGGATAACGGGTCAAAATCGGTTATTGGGTTTTCTGTCAAAAAATTCTGAGTCACACAGTTTATACTATATTAGCCAAGTTGAAGTCTGCGAAAGGCTGAGTTTTTGTGCGCGGCGAGACGAGGCGGTCGACTGCCTCGGGTTCTGCTGTTCACTTTCACGAACCGCGACGATGTCCTCTGCCGATTTTGCGTTCCTTGAACGTGCAAGTGTTTACTGACTTACAGATCCGGTCGTTTCAAATTTGGCCACCAAACCTTGAAGAGTCGACTGTGAAGGGCCACCACGCCTACCGTAAAATGGGCGCAATGCGCGCAACGTTTGCACAAACGAGCACTCATTTTGATAATAAAGTTTTATCATTTGAACGTGCTGTTCGATCGTGTAACTTGCTATGGTGATTTAGTATAAGTAACTGAATAATAAATAAAAGATTTGATACAACTCGCAGCATGAAAGTCTAGCGGTGATCGTTATTGCGCATTATTGCGTATGATTGGCTGTGTGTATCGTTCGCACGCGCTGATTGGCTTTCCAGTCTCATTTCGTATTGATACAACATTCGCAGCTATCCCCTCCACGTTGCGTTCAGCGCTAGAGTTACGTGCCGCGACTAGTAGATGTCACGAAAACAACATTCATGAAGGTTAGAGAACAGGAGAACGATCACCATAGAAAATAGTGTCCCAGAAATATGATAATCATTAAGTTCGGTCAATAAAAGTCATTTATAGTCTATTTTTCCGATCAGATGCTAAACCACTTGCACATCCAAGCACATTAAAATATTTCTCCATTTTTTAATGTTTCTTTTTGTCAAAAATTACAAAATTACGGAGCACGAAAATTTTCTCAATAAAAATGAAATGAAAATTTGTTCAACTAAGTTCATCTACTTGTACTCATAGGCAGCTAACTTCGCAGTTACTACTCACCGACGTCAGCGCCGCTATGTATACTACAAGTTTCAAGGACAGGCGGGCTATGCTTTAGTACGTAGCGATCGTTCTCCTGTTCTCTAACCTTCATGACAACATGGCTGCACGGGCCGCTAAAATCTACCTGCGTCAATTGAAAAACCCCTTACAGTTATAATTATAACTCACTTTTTGTAAGAGCTATACTATACTAATCGTTGACTTCGTATTCTTGCAGCACAACGATCCGCGCTCCGATGCTGCTGCCGATGTTCGCCGCGTACTACTTCTTCAACGCGCTGCTGTGTCTGCTGCTGTGCCTACACGTGGTGTGGACCTTCCTCATCTTGCAGATCGCCTACAACACCATACAAGCCGGCATGGTGAGGAATCCAATGTTATTTTTTTCTGTTTCGTGAAACAGATCTGCCACTTATAAGTTTTAGTTTTGTTGTTTTTTTTAAAGGCGATCTCAATTCGACTGTATGTTCGTTTTTTGGATGTATGATACGCGATATCTTCGTCCGAAATTTCTTTGGTTGTGGTTCCTTTTTTATTAACAACTTTCTTGTCCAGTTCGAGCTGATGGTAAAGAACATGTTATAATAATCTACTTAAACTTTACGGAGTCAGTAATTCAGTAATACAATTTATTCTTGGGGCGATGTGTACGTTTTTACAATAAAATCCCAGGATATATACAAAATTTGACCTTCACCAAGTTTAAAAACTTTATTAAACGAATATTAACCAGTGGTAATGGTGTTCAATAAGTGTTATTTGTAATTTAAATTGAATAAAAAATTGTTCGTTTCTGTTTCTCTTGTATGAAAAGGGTTAAGTTATTAAAGAGTTTATAGATGATAAATAACCTGTAGGAATGAGGTGTTCGCTACCATGTTATTTCTAATTTGTTTTGTGTTATTAATTGTTATGTAACTTCTTTGATAGTAATAGTAATAATTTTAGTAGTGTAGAGCTACGCTGCATCTATATTATAGTTATAGCACGAATGGGTAGGCTCGACCGGGGCAGGACCACGCTCTCACAGAATACCAGCGTAAAATAGCAGCTAAATGCTGTTGTGTTTCGTATGGTAAGTGTAAGGTACTAGAGACCCTATTTACTGGAAACGAGGCATTTTATCTTAGTCCTCACGAGTGACAACACCTTTGCATTTTGATTTTTAATCGAGGATAGATGTAGATGTCTATAGGTCACAGCATCCACTTACCACGAGGTGGACTGTGTGCTCGTTTGTCACCCTGTTTCTCCCGTTTCACTTAGTTTCTGGCTGGTTCTTCGTAGGACATAGGTATTTTCCGAATTTCTAATTCTATTGATATGAATTTCTAATTTTCAGATGGAGGGTGACATAAGAAGTTCCAGTGAAATCAGTGACAGCCCTGAGAATTCCAATCACAGTACATCGAATTGCGTCAACAATAAGAAGTGAGTTGACGTAAAAATAAATACACGTCTATGCTTAATTATAGTCACGTCATGTTAATAGATCTCACTAGGTTCCCACACAGGCGAAGCCATGGCGATTCACTAGTCTATGTTATATATATATATATATATATATATATATATATGTCTGTAATATCTAAGTGTCTTATTGAGACAAAGCTGAGGGTTCGTTAATAGTTATGCGTGCCAATAACGTATGAAATATCATTTTTAAAAACATTTCGTCTGACTTGGAATGAAACTTGACAGGTAGAGGACAATGCCAGTGATGTAGGTTATATTTTATCCCAAAAACTACAATGCTTATTTATAATAAACTATACTGGTAGAGCCAGAACATACGGGGTAGAACCATGCTGCAGTTATACATAGTTGTTGCACGAATGGGTCGGCTCGATTAGCGAAGGACCACGCTCTCGTGGAATACCAGCGTAAAATAGCAGCTTAATGCTGCTGTGTTTCGTATGGTGAGTGTAGAGAACCAGAGACTCTTTTTACTAGAAATGAGGCATTCCGTCTTAGTCCTCACGGGCAACAACGCATCTGCATTTTGATTCATAATCGAGGATAGATGTAGATGTCTATGGGCCGCAGCAACCACTTATCATCAGGTGGACTGTGTGCTCGTTTGTCACACTATTTTATAGAAAAAAAAATTGAAAACATGATTAATTATAACTCCTGGGAACAAGGTGATTGCTAACATGCTGTTTCTAAATGTTTTGTATTTAATTTTTTCTATTTTTTTTTAATAGTAGTGTTGCTGGATTTTTTGCAGGTTCTTATGAAGACAGATTCTTTTTACGAATCAATGGTGAACCATAAATGATTTAACAAGTATTATTTATAATCTATAAAGAGTAAAAATTATTCTATTATATTCTTACAATTTATGTCTCATATTTCAGAAACACTTAAATCGAGTGATGCAAACGGTCTGCAAGTGAAGCGTTATAAATGGAAGTTTGTAAAAAACCACCAGCCTCGCTCCGTGTTCGTGTCTTTCGTTATGTTTGTGTCGTCGCCGCGCCGTTCAAGTTCTCTTCTCTTCTTGATTCCTTCTTTATAAGAAGATTAATGTTTAGGTTAGTTTGAATAATTCAAAGTGAACGGTTGCTATTCGCATCACATCTTGTTAAGATTTCTGAAAACTTATATTTGTGTAATTGTTGTGAAATATGCGTGTAAATGTGCGTGTTAGGTTATATTCATATAAGCTATAAAGGATTAAATCATGATCTATAGCCCAGTGAGCTACCATGTAAAAGTTTGGTAGAAATAATAATGTTAAAGTATCTGAGCTCAATAGTTTAATCTGTCTGTTAAATAATAATAGAATGTGTTTTCAGTGTAATTACAGTTACCTATATAATTGACTTTTTGGCTGACCAAAAGCCAGCTTTTTCGATGTGGCTTAAACTGTGAAGAGGAATAAATTTAGTGTGTAGTGCAAATTTTTATTAATAGCAGTGTAAAGTTTTCAGTTAACAGTTTCACTGTCCGATTTTCAGACAATAGACGATAGCAATGAACTACGTATATGTAGTACGTAGGACAGCGAAAGGGTTAAACTATCGGATACATACAAGCATATATTTCTTGAAGTTATGCACATTCAATGCGGAAACATGCTTTTCAAAGTGCTATTTTTGTATCTCCATATATCTCAAACTTCCAAACTGAAATGCTATGTATATAAATATTGATATTTTGTAAATTTATATCCCCATTATTCTAGAAATAACTGGTTTTTTTTAGTCAATCCATTTTTTTAATTGTATAGAATAGTTTATCCCATTTTTATAAGATATTTCCCAAAACATTCATATTTTAATACAAACACATACACTTATTTTATAATTTTAATCATCAATCACTAATAAAAAAATTGTGGTAGATGATTTTAAGGGCTTTGTTCAAGATTTATATCTGTCGGTACGGTTTGATCTAGTGCTGGTCCATGTTCTTAATTTTTGAAAATCTATTTCCTTCCCAAATTAGAAGACTTAATTCCTTATGTGAAGCCAAAGATGTATTATAGGCAAATTAAACTATAATTTCATAGATATAAAGATTTAAATTGTATGACGAGATTACGGACCAGCACAACAAACTTAGAACAATAAATTAGGCTCAAGAATAATTTATATGCTTCATACAAATATCAAAATGTAAGGAAGAGATATTAAGATAGTGATGCTTTATACATTGAGTTCTTAATCAGTTCGTGTCCGTATCGTCCCGTGGGAGACTTACGTGGCAACAGAGAGAGACTGAAATAGGACATAGGCAGCAGTCTTCCTAATAACGACTAAAAATAAAAAACTGCGGTTGCCAACCTGCTTGACAAGCATGGCAACTATGGCAATATTCACCCTATGAGATAATCTTTGAGGAGGCATATGTTCAACAGTGGACATTAGTAGGTTGTATGGGTAACAGTAGTCATTCTGTAGAACTCCACTGTGGGCACTGTCATTCATTCATTTATTTGTTTCAGTCTATGAAAAGCCTACTGCTGAACATAAACCTCCCCCATAGATTTTAAGCAATCTACCAGGAGGGCTGAGGGATTTTATCACAGCTGCAACGCTATGCACACAGCGATGGACAAGCAGTTTTTTAATATTTTGACTTGTTAAGAGGAAGATGTTGCTGTCCATCTCCGGTCAGGGGTAAACGAGATTTATATGTACTGCCATCTAACGGAAGCTATGAGAGCTTTTTGGCATACCCCATAGTCTTTAATGATAGTCACTGGACAAAATGGATTTATGGATTCTTTAAACATTGTTATACAATATGTATATTTTAAATTTCATGTATTTTACAATTATTTTTTCGTACTCTTCATTTAATTGCTTTATGATATATATTATTTGGACTTATTTATAGTTATATGTATTTTCATAATTAATTTTTGTACATCCTCTTATTTTAACTATTATTTGCATCAGGGCTCTTCGTAAACCCTGCAAACTTTGTCTGGAAGAAATCACTTTCAGGATGATAAGACCGCCTGTTGGTACATACTTTAGATTGAACTCTTCTCGTTTTTTGTATTTTGTGTAAAATAAAGAATAAACAAAATTTACAGAGATCTAGAAGATATTTTAATAAAATTGACAAAAAACAGATAGAATAATTTTTAACATATTCTATTACAAGGTATGTGCTTCATTTACTACATACTCTGCGTTCGTAATCCAACCCAAAATTCTGCTCTATATCAAATATTTTAAAGGAAAATGCAGCGTAACAATTCACGTTAGAGCGAAGGCTATACTTGTTCTATTCTAATACAAGCCGAATAATATATATCTTAATATATATAAATTACGTGTCACGTTGTTTGTCCGCGATGGACTCCTAAACTACTTAACCGATTTTAATCAAATTTGCACACCGTATGCAGTTTGGTCTAACTTGAGAGATTGGAAAGTTTTATTGCCCATGAGTGACCCACAATTTTTTTTGAACGTAAGGATTTTTAATAGGACATGACAAGGGCTTGTCGAAAATAGCAGAACAACGTCTGCCTGGCAAGCTAGTGTATATATAATTCTTTTGTCCATGTATATGTGACTGAACTTCACAATGGCTGGACCAATTATGATGGAATTTTGTGTGTGTGATTAAGTTTTTTGAATAGAAATTAAAATACCAGAAATGCTTATAACATGCTTATCATAATCCTGGCAATCTTAAAATGCTTGTGTTAGAAGTGGTTCACGACACAGTAGTCGGATGGTGGATTCAAATCCACGACCTCTTGAGCTCGCGATTTTTTTTTTAATTTCTATAGCGTCGCTAATAATCACCCTTGGTAGGAATCGGTGTTGAAATAAAAGAAGTTAAAATTAAACTAAACTTAGTTTCATTTTAGTTTAATTTTAACAACAAAACAAACAAAATTCAAACTTTTATGTTTAAATTAATGTTTAATGCTAGGAGGTTAAATGTTGAGAATTGAATACGTGTTGTCGATACTAATTTATATAACAATAATATGTACGGGTAAGATGTTACAATTCATATAATAAAATTAAACAAAATAATCCATATGTAGTTGTGAACACAGTTGTATTTGGCTTTGACAATATTTTCTTGTATCATACTTTGTAGTTTGTACAGTATTCAACGAGTAATAAATTTTGTTATGATGCAAATTACTGCACCTAGATTTAACTGAAATTTCGGATTATTAAAGTAACGTTGGGCACTTTCGGGATGGGGAAAAAAGCGCTGAACTCGCGTGACCGTCTTACATATATACAGATATGTTGTTAGATACATATATAAGTATATATATGTAAACATGTGTGTATGTGGAGCTAAAAAGTTATCACTTCTGCAGTTCTACGACTGACAGTTTTTTTTATTAGCTCTAATCTTGGTGGTGATAACCTTGTCACTCCACAATCACCATTTTTGGTTTGCTCCCATCGTCTAGCCTTTCATTAATTTGTATGAAAAATATTTATAATGTATTCATCAAGTTGGGACCATGTAGACCGGTTTTATATGCATTTTAATTTCTACATCCGTTTCGTAAAATAATTGTAAATTAAGTAGTGTATCGAAGAATATATATGTATATATATATACATAGTGAGATGTCTTGTATCTGGAACTCTAGGACAAGAGACAGTCAGCACATTTGTGAAATAAAGTGCGAATCTTAGTTGAAAATAGTGCAATATACCTTAATGTCCGAGTCCTAGACCGGTATTGAGAGACAATTTCTAGTTTAGGATCAAAATTCAGAATAAAGAACTAGGTACACTGTTCTATACAAGAAATCACTTTAAAACTGTAGCCAATTGGAAACATAAGCATGTTGTTCTAGTTGAAATAAACGTACATTGATGCAAACTCAACTTTATGAGCACTGCTTAAAGTTGTATTTACTAAGCTATGCGCAAAAAGCAATAAATTTTTACGACCGAAGCTCATCAGTCAACTGCTGGAAACTCAGGGGGATATTTTTAAAGTAAATTATACATCATTATAAAAGCTTATACAATTTTCTCGAGTCTATATATATAGTCTATATATATATATATATATATATATATATATATATATATATATATATATATATATATATATTTTTTTTTTTAGACTCGAGAAAAGACTCACTGGCACTCACTAACTTGTGTTTGTTAACTGTTACAGTGTATATCATTTTTTTTAAGAAATCTGATTTTGTTTTTGTGAACATTCATAAAACTTTCGTAAATATACTAAGGTCAAAGTTGATATATATATTTCTTTAAAAAAATTCTCTGACGATTCGGTTTTAGGTTGTAATATTGGGTAATATTGGGTGCGTTTGGCAGAAAAAAGCGATGTAAGCAAAATAGCGATCGTAAGCGGTAAGCGCTGTCAAATCGTAAGTAGCTATTTTCCTCCAGGACACGATGTTAGTTTTAACCGGGGAACCTAACCTAATTTAAATATATGTTTGTAAAGTATTCATATTAAAAACTAACACTAACATTCCTCCTTACTACTTTCTCTCATACTACTTAAAAATCTCTAACTTTGACATCGTGGAGATAAAGAGTTCTAACTCGAGATTGTATCTCAATACCGGCCCTAGAATTTTTTATTTTTGTTTTAGCCATAAATGTATTTGCAGATAAAGTTAATGAGAGTCCCTTGACATTATGTTACAAAGATTCTAAACTTAACGGATTTCTCACTATGGTCGGAATCGACTAATACTATTCTACATATTTAAATAATAAATGTATAAATCAGGATGTTACCTCAATAGATCTAAACTTTGTTATACTTTTGGAGATTAATCCAGTATTTGTTTTGGATATTCTAATAAATTAAATGGCGCAGATAGTGTCACTAACACCTGTATGCCTTTAACAATTTATTTTTACTATGTCTATTTAAGTGCT